TGTTAACTCCACTTATTTATTTCATTATTTGAAATTTGAGATCCCGTCTTCTATGTAGGTTGTGAACAGGAAGAACCAAGGTTATGGAATTGCAGCTGATATATGGAGCCTTGGCTGCACTGTCCTAGAGATGCTTACTCGCCAATTTCCTTACTCCCACTTGGAAAATGTACGTAACCACAAACTTCATATTCTTTTTCCTTACTTGATTATTGATTGGTCAGACATCCTCGTCAATGGCTTTGATCTCATAACCTCCTAATATAGCTTGTTGTGGCACTTGTTATTGTAAAACCTAGACAATTGTTATTGCTGAAATGGTATTCTTTTTCTAATACGCTATCCCTTAATCTGGAGCTAATTCATGCTAAATATTACTAATTGCTTATTATTTTTTGAAATTTTATATCTGTTTGATTGGACGATGTGCAAAAGGCCTATTTCAGAAACTATGATTGGAGTGCTCTGTCGTTGAAACATCTAGAGTATAATTCAATACTTAATTAGGCTGTCTAAACCAGATTGTATTTATACCTAAATGAAATGGCTATTGAAATGTGATGTCTTTGACCTATTATATACTTTGGTCTTCTTTTTTTTTTTTCCAGTTATTGTTGGGAGGATAATTTTTTGGAGGTCTTCACTATTAGCTGTAGATGTTTGGGATCTATATTCTCACATGAAATTTGTTTATTTCTGTTACTTTGCTATTTTAAGTGATCGTTGGCTAGTTCTATTTGATTATTAGAACCTTCGGGGTGGTCTAGTGGTTAGGGATTGGGACTTCCATGTTGGAGGCCTCAAGTTGGAAACCCCTTGCCAGCGAAAGCAAGGGGTTTGCCTTCTGGGTTGAGTTCGTCGCACCGGGCTTTCCTAGTGTGGGTTACCTCTCATGTGTGGTTTGCCAGCTATTGCATAGCAGCGGGGTTTTTACCTTGTGCCTGTGCTCACCCAAAGGGTAGCGATGGCAGGTTTCCTTGTCATTAAAAAAAATAATTGATTATCAGAAGATCATTGTTTAAGATATGTGTGTGCACGTGTGTGTGTGTGGATTTTCTTCTCTTTATTGAATATAAAAATACTGAATGTCTTTTAAGATGCTATGTGTGTAAGTTGGAAAGTTACCTCATAATACATGAGCAATAACTATTCTCCTGTCAAATGCTATTTAGTTTATGAGGTTTCCTTTTGTTATATTTCTTATATTTGGTCAACTTAGAAAATCTTATGCTTGTGCAACTGACTTTTAACTTGTTTATAGAAAAATGTAAAAAGAGGGAGTTGGAGTAGGGGGATAAGATTTCTTTGATTGTGAACACCTCCTTTATGGAGATGCTGGTGTGTGCAAATTCACTATTTATGAAGAGTGACCATGTATATTTTGGGGAACAGCCAATGCAGGTACTGTATCAGATTGGAAAGGGGGAACCTCCAGCTGTGCCTAATTCCCTTTCGGAAGATGCACGCGATTTCATTAACCACTGTCTGCAAGTGGATCCAAGTGCCCGTCCAACTGCTACTCAGCTCTTGGAGCATCCATTTGTGAAACAAACACTTCCCTCTTCCTTGGGCTCAGCTTCACCTCTCAATCTGGGCAGGAGGCTTTGAAATCTTGTTGTAAGTTCCAATGGTTACTTTGTCATCTATTTTTACTTATGATAGTCACTTGATCAACTGTAGTGTTTAGAATTTCAAAATGCTACCATGTGCACCTTGATTCCTGCCATTGTTTCATTTGGGTTAGCAAAAAATTCTGCCATCTAATTATTGAAATCTGTTTTAGTTAACTTCACACAATCATTTATAGAGAATTTACTTGTGTTTTGTGTCACTTGAACAATTACAACAACTATGCCTCAATCCCAAATAAGTTGGGATCTTGGTAAAATCTGTAGGGATAAGCTAAAAGGCACCTCATTAATAATACATTTACTTATAATAGAAGGTACCTCATTAATGAATATGTTGCTTTGATAAAGAAAAGAAAAGTCTGAACTTATTGATATTATCAGAGTCCCCGTTGATTTAGACACCCCTTGTTACGACGGCCTGATCCTGCTGGGGTGCATTTATTGATAGACCATTGGGTGTATCCAGATGTTAGGGCTTTGATTGGCAGATTCTGGTTTGCCCTGTGCAAGCATTGAGTTGGGTCAATAGGAGACCAGTTTCTTAGGCTTTAGAGAGGAGGGCAATGTGTCAAGCTGGTTTTTCAGTCCTCAGATTTTAGTCCCTTTATTGGAAAGACCTTTGATTGTGCTCTTCCTTTCCTAGCCCATTCTTAAAAGATGTTTTGTGGTTTAGCTTGTCGCTTTCTCAAGTACATTAACTAATGTGAAAGGGACTTCCACTGACAACCATTGTAACAATCCAAAGGTTTGGCCTTGTGAGCAATAGGGTGCAAACTTTGGAGAGCAGGGTCTAATTCCGACAAAAGCGACTTGGTAATTTGTCTCCAACTGTCCAAGTTTTGGTGGGGCTGAATTACCTGGCATAAGTTATCATTTATTTAAGCTGGCCCAAGCAAGACCAATATAAAAAAATGAAAAAGAAAAACTGACAAACATGATAACGATGCTCTGTTCTGAAAATATATAGGACTCTTTGCCCTCTTTGCTTATAAGGGCCACGATCTTGTCTTAGTCATTTCATAACAATCACCTTTCCGTTTCTACTATGTGCCTGTGGATGGACTTTTGATGTTCTATTACAATCTACTTGTCTCACTAGACTTTATTAGTTAATCTAAGATATATTTATGTAATTTTTCCTGCAGCTCTATTCTTCCTCATTGGATCCTCAAAATTTTGAAGGGGGTTTAACGTGGATGCATCTCCTAAAATCTGTATTTGAACACTGAGTTCAGGTATTTGAAACCACATCGAGAGCTGTTTGCAATTGTGGTCAATACCTTTGCTGCGGTGTAATTTTGAGCCCCCAACCCCTCTCGGTTCTTTCCTCTTCCCGACACCTCTCCCACTCCACCATGGAAGGAAAGACGAGGTCGTCGGGGTATTGTGTTGTATATGTAGTTTTAATTCATAGTTGAGTGCTTGAGTCAGCATGGGATGTAAAGATAGATAACCCATTTGAAATGTATATATCACTAGAAGAGGCCCATTTGTTGCTTCATACCTCTCTTTTCTTGTTTATTTTCTTTTTTACTTGCTTGTTCCGTTGTGTTGTAAAAGCTAATGTGTACTGCATTTCAATTTTCTCGGAACAAGCTGTGGGCTAGCAGTAAAAGAAGCTGCCAGTGTCTTATAATTAGCTGGAAGATGGTAAGAATTTTTTAGGGAAGTTCGTATTTTGTTTTAACTCAACCTCAAAAGCTAATTGATAGAAGTGAACACATGTCTAAGAATTGTGGAACAACAACAATCCTGCACGTCTAGAGTTGGATATCTGGAGCGCGACCATATAACATGGGGGATGAGATTCAGTAAGTTAGAAGTGAGGTTAAGTCTGGTTGGTACGAAGAAAGATTTATGAACAACAATATGGAGATTAACAGAGAAGAGTTTGGTTCGTGAACAAATTTAATAACTCCGAAAAAAAACGTTTGGCTTAAAATTTTGGAATTTTCCAATTTTTGAAAAGCATCAAAAAATTGTTTTCACTCTAAATTACTCACAATTTGTTTGATAAATAACAGATTTCTTCAACTAGTATGGATTTAATAAGATAGTATGTTGTATTGTATAGATGTTTAGAAAAAGAGTATAATATGTTTTAAGAAATGAATTAGTTCTAAATCACTTTACCAGTTAAGAATTGAGGTAGACGTACAAAAGTATTACAGTACAAGAATGATTTCTTTGAGGAATCTTTTTCAATTTGTTCAGAAGCATCAAATGCCTTTACACTTTATAAACTTTTTGGAGAATTTGTTCGTGACTCAACAAATGTATGTTCATTAGATAATACGTAAGCTTTGAAAAATTGAAAAAGAATTGTATTGGTATACGGTACTTGTTTTTTTTTAATCAATCATATCTAGAGAGAGAAATTAACGTGTCTATATACGTACGAACGAAAGGGTATAAACAAGTTGAAGATCTAATTATTTGGAGAAATGCGCTCAAGGATATAGAGTTTATTGTTCAAACAGATTTAAGATGCGTTATTTTTTTAAAAGATTGTAACTAATTTTCTAATAAAAAATGACAATTTTAATTTTGCTATTATTATTCAGATAGAATTAAAACGATTTCTTTTTATTTTAAGTTTCTCAAAGTAGACATTATTTTACCAATAGTATTACCATGGAAGCATTATAAACTACTTAACTTTGAACTAGTTAATAGTAATATTGGTTTTGAATTGCAAGTGCTATCAGGTTCAAAATGTGTCATTTTAACAGTATGAAACTGACAATTATATAAAATCATCTTTTTTGTAAATAAATATACTTTGATAGTTTGATTAAATTGCCATAATTTCCAAATTATAGATTAATATAATAGAGGTAAAAATTCCTTTATGAAAAAAGTCACCACAGTGAAATAATGGCGTCACAATGTGTTAAATATGACTCCACCATGTTGAGGTAGCATTTACATCCAAGAAAATCCCTAAATAAAGAAAATAATAGAAATCATTCTTTATATTAAGTGACATGTTTAAAATAGTATGCACCAAATAATTTTATCCTTCATGCTAAATTTATCTAAAGTTAATATTTTCAATCTCCGTCAATATTTACCAAATCCCATGGGTTGGATTTAAGAAAATTAGGAGAAACTCATATTTCGAGCTTGCAGGTAATTGTTTCTGATATAGCTAGTCTGTAAGATATAATTTCGATTAATCTTTTAATCTTATATTAGTGTAAAACATAATAATTCTTTTTTTCTTGTATTCTCGTCATATAAATTAGATAATTATTTAATGTTGATTAATAATATTAAAATTTAAAAAGCTCATTTATGTATTTTTCTGCCCGCAACCCGACCCGAAACATGAAATCAGTGTAAATTGCACAGATATAGTGTAAGCCCACAGTAGAAGGCAGCGAAAACTTGAGAGAGAAATCAATTGTTGGACGCAAACCCTCAAATCTTCCGGAAGATTAGAGGAGCGAAGCATACACACTTTCTCTCTCCTCCATACAAAATTTTCTTCTTCTTCTTCCTAATCATATCTTCAAATCGGGTCTATATACCAAAGTTCTGATAAACCTAGCGTATATTCAATTCGTTACGATATTCAGGTACATTTGTTCAAGATCTGATCTGTTTTTGTTACTATTTCCGGATTTTGATGGGTTGATTCCTGTTTTAATTGATTAGTTATGTAAATATTTGTGTTTGAATGGAGTATATTGATTTTTATTTTTAGTTTCTTAGTAGATTGTATATTGATTTAAGTTTTGGTAGTGTTTATAGGTTGGGTTGTTTTCATTTATATATCAAGGCAATGTGAAGTTATCTAAGATTTGTTATGGATAACTTTACCTAAGAGTTTCACTTGATAGTTGGAATTGAAAGATGTGTCTCTTTTCGTGTTTAAGGGACCTTCTGGCTTGGTTCTGCAATGGTTAATTTGTTTGAAAATGTCTTATTAATTTTCTTTAACTGAAAAGAGGAGAGATGGAGGGAAGTTCAAGGGTAATAGAGTTGTATTTTATATCTATAGAATGATAAAAAGGTATAATAGAGTTAAAGGCTATATGTTAAAACCCTCAATTTGCTTACAATTTGCATTGACATATGTTCATTAAGATAGGGTGGCAACAATGTTCTCTCACCAATTTTGTGTTAAAAAGTACCCTTTTGTCAGGCACTCAACGGTCTGACCTAGTGGTTTATGAAGTAGGTGAAACTCTTAGAGATCATGGTGTTATATTCAGCAGAGAGGCGTAAGTTTTATTTAATAGAGTTTCCCATACTTTGTTGGTGGAAGGTAGCAAGGACTTGATGGAATAATCGAGATGTACACAAGCTGCCTAAACACAATCTTTATAAATTAAACATTTTTTATCAGTAATTTTGTGCACTAAAACTCTCTTTGACGTTAGCCTATAGACATTGTCTCAATCCTATTTCAAAATTATGACATTGGCAGGGTAGTTTATAGAGAGTCATTGCCTCTTTAGCACTTGCCAAATTTGTTTTAAAAGCATTTTTTTTATCTAGCAACCAATAGTGTGGCCTAGCGATTAATTTAAGTGGAGCTCGGGGTTTACTTTCTATCTGCCTAAGCTTTGTTAGATAGAGTTATCCGGTGTGTACTAGTGGAAGGTAGCATGTATTTGGTGGAATAATTGAGGTGTACCACCCGCACCATCTTTTTTACTCTTTCTGTCTTAATTTTATATGGCATTATTTTTCTTTTTTTGAGTCCCAAAAAGAACGACATTTTTCTATATCTAGTAACATTTTTAACTTTAAAATTCCCATTTCACTCTTAATGAGATGATTTTTAACCACTCAAATATCTATGGTTTATTTTAGACTTTGACAAGTTCCAAAGTCTTTTCTTTCCTTCTCAGACTATGTGCCCAGTCAAGCACCATCACATAAATCGAGTTGGAGGGAGTAAAGATGAACTTTTTCAGTCATGTTAGCTTGCAGTTTTCTCAATCCTATACCAAAATCATGTCATTGACCATTGATTTAGAAGACAATGCCTATTACGCTATCTAAATTAGCTAGCTACAATTCTTTTTGTTCCTTTTTTTCATATCTTTTTTCTTTTTCTTTTTGCAAAGTTGGTTGAGTTGAATTTTTGTTATTGTTCCATTTTTTTATGAAGTATGTTTTTGGTCCCATTCTTTTCACTTTAGATGTTTTACCTATGATTGAGTATTGTATGCTATTTTAAATAGAGAGGCTCTAACATTTAGTTCTGGTACCTTCGTGATTTTTAATGAGAAGTCGGCATGAAGTGTTGGCAAATAAACGATTGCACCTATAAAAGACATAACTTTATGGTCCAGTGGAATCTGTTTTGAAGCACCCAGTATGTGCTAGAGGTGATAGTACCCTGTCAAATTAGTCTAAGTGCGTGCAAATTGGACCAGACACCACCATTATCAGTAACGAAAAGAAAAGCATGTGTTGGAGCTTGGCTTTTCATGGAACACTATTTTGTGTGGTTGAGATGGTTCATTACATGTGCATTTAACTGGTGTATATTTACCTGCTCTACTTCCTTAATTGTTAATAATTTAGTTATCATGTTATGTGGATCAGCATTGTGTGCAGTAAACAGGTTTTGCTGATTTAAGACATCTTTATCCTCTAGATTTCTTTCATCAAAGGCAGCAAGTTTATCTGTTTTAACAACAATATATCTGAATGCGCACAAGTTTTAAGTGTAGAGTTTGAGAAACATTTGAAACCTTGCATGATATCTTTTTCCTTCTTTTCAGTTATTGTTTAATAGTTTAAGATTTGCTTGTTTAGCAAAAAATCTGGTTTACTAACCTCTTCCCCTCCCCCACCCTATCCCATTGGTTTCTTTTGTTCCCTTTATTTTGCTGTTGGGGAATGTATCTTCTTTACCAGAAATGACAAAACCAAACAAGGTGCGACGGATAGCTGATTTCCATCACCATGATTTGCCGTCTTGCCGCTCAAAAATGTACAATAAGCTTCACCAAAAGGAGAAACGACCAAAACCATCAGAGAAGAAAGAATGGGAAGGGGCAACTTGCTCTGTTTGCATGGAGCACCCTCACAATGCAGTGCTGCTGCTGTGCTCATCTTATGACAAGGGATGTCGTCCGTATATGTGTGCTACTAGCTGCCGTTTCTCAAATTGTCTTGAGCAGTACAAGAAAGCGTATACTAAAGTCACTTCAATCGAGGGCTCTGAACCTGGGTTGCTGGCAACTGATGATCCTAATTGCTCGTCAGGAGCAGGATGTTTAGCTGGGGCAGCTGAACTTCTATGTCCACTCTGTCGTGGGCAGGTAAAGGGTTGGACGGTTGTGGAACCTGCACGCAAGCATCTAAATGCAAAGAAGAGAACATGCATGCATGAAAATTGCTCGTTTGTTGGAACGTACAAAAAGTTAAGGAAACATGTAAGGCGGGAGCATCCTTCAGCACGTCCCCTAGAAGTAGACCCTTCACTTGCAGAGAAATGGAAGAAGCTTGAGCACGAGAGAGAATTGAACGATGTGTTTAGCACAATCAGGTCTGCCATGCCTGGGGCAATTGTAATGGGAGATTATGTAATAGATGGTAACTTCGGAGGGCTCCACAGGAATTTTGGATTGGATAACCATCTCGATGAGACTCTTTTTAGGTCAGACCCTCTTAGTGATCTGTGGAATAATAATGTCCACCCAGACGATCTTTTCAATGATAGCTATCATTCATTTGATCAGGATGATTTTTTTGTCCATCATTCTGGCACTGAGGCTGCATCTAATGTTTTCAACAGAATCTCTCGACTTCACAGTAGGATCCTATTGGGACGATCAAGGAGGCGGCAACGACATCGAGCAAGTAGTAGAATCCGGTGATCTTTTAGGAAAAGAAGGTTTTCAAGAGTGGTTAGGATGATGAGACATGTTTGTTTGACTATTGTTTTCTTTGTCCTAACCCAGAAAAATATGTGAGACATCCATGTTGCAGATCCTAATCGGTTGTTCCAGCGAGGATTGAAGACCACTGCTTACAGCAATTTGGAGTTCCTGTAGTTGCCTGTAAATTTGCATAGTAAAGTAAATTCAACCCTCCTCCCTACTCTTAGGTACTTTTATTTCATGAAGTAGGCAATAGTTTCATAAATCAGGTAATATTAAAGATTTTGTTTTCCTCTCATTGGATATATGCATATCCTTGAGGAAAAGAAGGTTGCAACATTATTTAACTATGAACTAGTACTAGTACTTCTTGTATTGCCTTTGGTTTTGCGCGTTGGATGATTCGTGTAATAAGCTTATTTGAGAGTACCGATCCTTGTGTTTTTTACCGGCTTGCAATGGTTTCTTATGTTTGATAGGATTGTCCCCTTCTCGTAAGGGTTAACGTGGAAAATATCACTCTATCGGTGACGTTCAATTACAAGTGGTTTGAGTTTGAAAGTAGCTTGCGATCTATTTTGATTGATGGGAGTCAATTGCTATTGCTTTCTGCATCTACTCCAATATGGTTATTGGTTAGTTTGGAGACATCAAATGAAGACCGTTATCTCTATTGCAATAGTATCAATTATCATGAGTATTGAGGTCAATTACCACACTACTTTTTATCATATATACGATAGTATATACAAAGTGAGTGTTGGTCAACATATGCTTAATTTAAGCATTTATGTTTTGTTTGTAACCAATACAACTACAACCTAGTTTTGTATGGGATTCAACAACAGCTTAGTTTTGAAGGGTGATATTTTATAATAGTTAGTATTACCGAATAAGCGAGTCATCGGTTTGAGAAAAGACTTAAAAATGACTTTCGAGACTTAAAAGATACTTTCTTAGTGAGCATAGAAAAAATAAATTTACTTATATTTTAATATTTGTCTTCCTCTCGCCACCCCACTGTCTGCCACACCCTTGTCCATACTGTTCTTTTATATTACCTATAAATACTTCGAAGGACAAACAATGTTTTGCTTAGTTACCAAATATTAAAAAAAAGTTAAAGAGTCTTTCTAAGAAAATATTTTCCTTTTCGTACTGACATCTATAACAATATCGAAATATAGTTGCTTTTGGTAAGAAAATATTTTTGTTTGTACTGATATCTATAACAAAATCGAAATATAGTTGCTTTTAATAAGGAAATATTTTTGTTTATACTGACATCTATAACAATATCGAAAAAAACATATAATCCAAAATTCCAAATAAAAGCATTGGATAAAGAAAGTGATATCAAAATATGGAAATATGTTACGGTAACATTGATTGATTTTTTTTTAAAAAAATTGATTATTTACATTTACAATTTTCTATCGAGATAAATTCTCGATGAATCCTTCGTGTGTCGAAAAAAAGCTCTTGCATGCATATATTTCAAATTCAAAAACAGAACATCAGTATTTCGACAACGTCACATCTCAACTATGATCTTCTTTCTCTTACTTTTGGACAATCGATGTACATTTGTTATAATTTTAGAAGAGTCCGAGCAACAAAAACTTTGTGTAGCAATAAACTGTAGCGCTGAAAATAAATTTAAAATATCTTGCCCTTTGGAAAATTAAATTTACGCCAATAAGAAACTTCAAAAATTCAACTAAAGAATACTAGATAATCAAGATTGGTGAGGTAAAATAGGCGAATTAGATAAAATTTGAACGAGTCAAAAGTGAGCAAATCATTAATCCGTTAATACTTAAACTTATTGAATAAATCATGTTTTTATGAACTAATTTTGCCTCTTCAAAAATTTACGTTTGCTTGCAAAATTGCCAGGCACCTAACATATTGAAGAAGCCCTTCAATTTATTCTGCATAACACAACAAAAGTAACACAAATTAGTAGGTGTTTAAACTCTTTGCACGAACACTATGATTTTCCCTCCTTCATACTATCAATTAAAATTAACATACAAGTATATATATGTGCTAATCTTAAAAATAGTGGGAACATTAATAGTACAAACTTTTTTTTATACTATCAGTGTGTATATTTCTCTAAAGACTTAAGTCCTTATTAAGAGGCAAATTATGTATTATATCAAAATACACATAATTTTTATTACTATAGAAAATAATAATAGCAAGACTTACACAAAAATTAGTTGTTCTCTTTTTTGCTCGTTTGCAGCCTTGTGTTCCAATGTTCTCATACCTCCATTGCTTATCTTTTCTACCAAACAAATGGGAAAATGGCAATCTAATCCTTTTTGTCCATCTCCATTTCTATACAAAATTTTAATAACTCATATACACAATATATACCAACCAAAAAAAACAAAACAAAAAGCATTACACTAGAACCTAATGCTTTTTGATTAGGTGATAAGAGCTGAAAATTAGAATTTTTGTTGTTGTTATGTATGTATACTATATGTATATGAGCCAAGGGTCTATAGAAAATAATATTTTTAGTTTTTACGTCAAAAAGGTAGAACTAAAGTATGTGTGCATTTTACCTTCTCCAGCTCCACTTATGAGATTATACTGGATATATTATTATTATATGTATATATAATATGTTAGAATCGCTGATTTATTCATATGATTAATTCTTATATTTTGATTCTATTTAATACAATCTTGAATCCACCACTAAATCCAACCATAAACAAGAGTCCAGAATATTTAAGTCGAGAACGATCATAGAATTTCTTTGTGAAATAAAAAATTAAAAAAAGAACATTTCACTATATATGATTTACCTTGTATTTTTGTTTTGATGATGACTTACGAGATATTTGTTGATGAAGTCTTAACTCATGAGCAATGGCTAAAAGTTGTGCTCTACGATTACAACCAAATCTCCTTCTTGTCCCTAATATAATTAGATTTGAATGATTTCTTCTCTTGAAGGGATTAGTTCTATCTAATGAACTTTCAACTAAGTAACTAATTCTAACTTCTTTTTCATTTTTCATTTCCATGTAATAAATAACTTCTTTCAATTGGCCTTTTGGAATTCATTTCATCAACTAATTAATTAATTAATTGCCTAGTTTGTTACAATCTACCATATATTATATTTGCTCTTTTGATTAAAGAAACTATTTTTGCGAGGTTTCAGTTATATTGTTGTGGTTGTTTTGACTGATAAAAAATGAGATTTAGTTTGGAAACCAATTCTTACTCCTTATTTTTTCTCTTAAATTATATCATGTTCAAAGATAACAAAAAAGTATTTTATTTTTAGTAGTAATTATTGTTAAAGACTATAAATATTTCATTAATATGATAATAACACATAAATCAACAAAATGTTAAAACATTTTCTTTCTCTCTTAAGACAAGTAAGGATAAAATGGTCATGAATCTATATCCATTTTTTTTTTGTTAAACTAATGTCAAATACATGAATCTATTAACATTTAACACAATATATATACAAATAAAAATAAAATACAAAAATCAATGATTGAGATACTTTTAGGATAATTAAAAGGTATTAAAACTTGTGTGAATTTTTTTCCCATTTGATTAGGCTAATAAAGGGGATAATTTTTGTTTTGGGAAAGTTGGTAAATAATAAAATATTATATACTATTATTATATGATTAGTAATAGTTTTCCGGACGAACATTGACACATTGTTTGGATGGTTAATATATTGTATTGTATTATTAGTTTAAAAATAATGTTTATTTTGATTGTTATTTAAATTTTATTATGTTGTATCGTTAAAAGTTATTATTAGGTAATTATAAAAAAACCTATTTTGTTTAATGATTGATTTAATGTGAATCGCATTATTATTTTGAAATTTTCTTCTCATTTTACCTTTACTTATTATTTGATATTCTATTTTATCATGATTTATTGTTAAAATCTATGGATATGTGTCATCATGTAACGGAAGAAAATGATACAATACATTCAAATATCATATCTATTAGAAAAGTATAATATAATATACTCCCTCCGTTTAAAAAAGAATGACCTAGTTTGACTTGGAACAGAGTTTAAGAAAAGAAAGAAAGAGTTGTTAATTTTGTGGTTCTAAATTAAAGTTATGTCGAAAGTATCAAAATGTCCATTAATCTTGTGGTCTTAAATATGTCACGTGGAAAATTAAAGTTACAATGCTGCCAAAGAAAAAAAAAGGTCATTCTTTTTCAAACAAACTAAAAAAAAATAGAATCATTCTTTTTTAAACTGAGAGAGTAATACAATACAATACAATATACCACATAATATACCACATTATGTAACAATATATAACAAGTTAACGACCATCGAAATAAAGTGCGTAAGGCCCAAAAAGTATATATATAAAATGACGGGCTTAAACCTTAAAGTGAGTTTGGGCCTGTTGGTAGCTTGTGTGAAATAACTAGAATGGCGAAGGAAGTGGAAACTGTTGTAAAGAGTAAAAATGGCTTCTTCTTGTTCACGGAAGCTGCTTCTACTTCGCAAATCGCTATGCAGAGCTCTCAAACCTAATTCTTCTTCATTAATACAAAGATCATTTCTTTCTGCTTCTACGCATAAATATCTTCTAGAACCTTCGACCATTATATCCAAATCGTTACTTTCAGAAGTTTGTAGAAGCTATTGTTCCCGCTCGTCACCTCTTCAAGATGCTTCTGAAGGTCCTGCTGCTATCGATTACCGGTAGGTTTGATGTAGTAACAACTTTTAGTTCCGAATTACTTTATTCTTACTTCGATGTTTGGGATTTTGTTTTTTTTTGCTGAGTAATTGTAGTGATTATAGAATTTGCTTGAACAAATTGGAGAAAGGAACGGAGTTTGAGTATCTGTATCTAGAATTTATTTCAATTTTAATTTGCTTGAAACTACTTGAGTCTTAATTGTTTTTCTGTTGAGAAATTCGGCATACTTTAGGATGTTATTAGACCTGAATGTTAGATGAGAGAGTAGTATTGAATCTATGATTTGAGCGCTGTTTGAAGTTGAATAGTGTCAGGTGCATTTGGTATGGAGGAAAGTGATTTCCATGGAAAATATTGTCTGTCCGGTGTATTGTTGGAGAGGTGCTTCACATATGGTAAATGTACAAGGTGTAGGATAAAATGTGAGGGAAAGGTTTTGGTGATATTTTGGGTAAAGGTCAATAATTAATGTCTAAAGTAAATAGCAACAACAAGATCAAATTCAGTGTAATCACCATAAGTGGGGTACGGAGAGAGCAGGATGTACACATACTTTACCGCTACCTTTGTGAGGTAGAGAGACTGTTTCTAGTGGACCCTCAACTCAATAGAAACGTGTCTGATGCAGGTTTGTAAAGGAATAAGAGAACAAAGTGGCAAGATACAAAACAAATGCAACAACAAATAGTAGTACACATTGGAAAATAAGAAACTATGCTAAAACTATAGAATACTAATAAAAAAAAGGAGAAGAGGGTTAGACCCCTGCCTCTCCCACACACTACCTTCTAGTTTTCTATCCTAATCTTCGACCTCCATGTCTATGCGTTGTTTGAAATCAGGGAGATTGAATAAGAGTAAGGATCTTTGTAAGTGAATATGACTTCTGTGGCTAAGTGGCATAATCAGTTTTAGTATTTTTGTGGAAAACAAATTTATTGAGTAAAACATTTCCCATCATTCTGAACTAGCGCCCTTCTGACTTCCCTGCCTCTGCCTCCTTTGTGTAATTGCTAAGCATCAATCCAAAGAGTGTAGACTCATAATTGTTCAAAGATGAAATCTTTTTAGTTTGATTAAGTAGCTTAAAGTCCTCATTTTAATTTTGTATCTCAGAGCATCTTTGATTTTCCAATGTGTTCGACTTCCAATGTAAGTGAGGATAGAGTGCAGGTAATACAATTAATCTAGAAGAGTTCTGCAGGTCAATATATTGAATTTTGAAGCCGTAGCCCAGCACTAGAAGTGGCTGTTGTAACAGATGAAGTTTAGTGTTTAATTTACACTTGCCCGTGATAAAGGACTAGCTATTTTGGTTTGTTTCAACTGAAGGTGTGTTGCATGGTTGATGTAATGTGAGATAAGCTAAGGTTGGTGTAAAACAAAAATCTAGAAGAAGATAACTGCACAGAAGTTTGATACTGTTTTGCCTGGCTCCTGTAGATCTTACATGGGGGAAACTAAATTGTTTGAAAACCTAATACTGAATTTGTAGACAAGTAAAGATAAGCTTGACAAATGAAGAGTGAATTGGGAAAAAGATTGAAATGGTACACCTTTTCTCTACGGGTTGAAAGGAAGAGCAGCATAAAACATTTGCAGTATTGTCCGATGGATTTTAATTTATTGCTAAAGCTCCCATCTTGCTTCATGTCAATAGTTCCAAATAATTAGTGCTTGATACTTAGATTTTTGTGTCTTATGTACAGAGCCGTTGATTCTCACTTAGAAACTAACGTTGTCTTAGTCCTTCCCCTCTCTCTCGCTCCCTCCTTCTGTATGTGTGTTGCTCTCTCTGTAAAATCTGCAAGAGGTTGTTTTGTGTTTGTAATTCTTAGAATGTCCTTTCACAGTTGGAAGTTTATTGATGTAGGAAAATGTGTTTGTATCTTCATACTAAATTTATAAATCTACAGATCTCTGCTGCAGGAAGATGAGTATCACAGACTGGCTAATGCCACTATCCATGACTTGCTAGATAAGTTGGAGGTATACTGTTGTATCTGATATACTTAAGTTTACTTTATTTGTATCAAGTTCAGTTGGACTTTCTCGTATATGTACCTATATCTTAGCGGTTGCACTATGATACTCAAGGTGGTTGCTGATGTTTATTAGTCAATTTAAAACTTCTGTTTTTGTTTGTATTGGATCTTTTGTTTTCCAGAAGTTTAGTTAGTATCAGATATTTCTCTTAAACAAAAGCTTGGGTATTTAAGTAGAGAAGGTTAGAGGGCTAGGCCCATTATTCTCGAGTTGTGGGCCTTGCGCTACTCACCCTCAGGCATTTATTGATCACTAAAAAGATTACTTGGATTTTTTTTATTGTCAAAAAGGTTTTGTATTGAAATCCAGCAAGCAGAAGGTGCTGTGGGGAATTTACAAGGGTCGCTCCATCACATATTGTGTAGTGAGCTCAAAAATCTAGCATGGCCTCTATATCATTTGCATTTGCCATGTTACACCAAAAAACAGTTGGGATAAACGTCTGTACTTAATACTTAGTACTAACTACTGATTCTGATTTGCTTTCAAAAATCATTGCATTCATTTCCTTCCAACTGGTCCACCATACTGCCGAAGGGAGAGTATTTCATGTTTATCATCTTTGTCTTACCAAACCTTTTTGAGTACCAGCATGGGAGCAGTTCTCTTGTCTCCCCAAGCCCCACCTGTGGGATCATACCGCTTATGTTGTTGTGATACATTTTAGATCATTATGCACTGTGATTTATCCTGTCATTACCATCTTCTTTTTTTCCCAAAAGTTTATATAGTAGTTGAACTTAAACTTATTTCATTTCAAGTACATGCATTTATCTAGCCTAAAAGAATTATGAACTTTTAGCTATCATGGGTGAGGCCAGAAGTTTTAAGTTTCATCTTCTGGGGACACATAAAAGGTAACATTTTTTCACCCTGATAATCGTGGTGTCAGGGTAAGTTTGACCACACCTTGACTAATTTCCTCGGGTATGTGCTACCTGCACGAGTACATTTATCGTTAACTCCATTCACCAAGACTTGGATAGATAGGAAGAAATCACCTAGTGTGAAAGAAAACAGTTGGTTTCAAAAATAATTTTGTTGATATCGCAACTGATAATACGAAACTTGAGTTTGGATTCTCTTTACCTTTAGTATCAATGGAGAGCCTATATCTTCTGCAAAGCCTATTTATAAATAGTAGAGGTTATATTTTGATAAGATTCTTCTCGTATTGAATCTATCTTCATTAAGTTGATGATGAGAAATAAATGTAAATCAGAGTGGATCCCACTAATACATGAACTCTTACGTATGTCATTTGGATTGAATTTCTCAAGTGGCTGCTTTAAGATGCTCTACTTTTTGTCGAGGAGTTGAAGAACATGTTACCCCAATCATTGGTTATGCATCATTCGTTCATATCGATGAAGAGATATTAGCCCCATGCAGCACCCTTACTTCTCTTGTTAAAATTGTTTATCAATCTGCTAAGTCAAAATTGAGTTGGGTTGTATTCTACATATGATTAGCATTCTGTATCTTTTGATTGTTTATAACAGTTGTATCTTTTGCTATATGACAGGAATATGGGGACTCAGTTGACATTGATGGTTTTGATGTGGATTATGGGGTGAGAAGGATAAAAAGCATTAGAATATATTTCTTTCAATATCCTGCATTTGTCTTGATATTCTAGATTTCGTTCTCAGAATGAGGTTTTAACGCTGAAGCTTGGGAGCCTGGGAACCTACGTGATAAACAAACAGACGCCAAATAGGCAGATTTGGATGTCTTCACCAGTGAGGTACCAATGCCTCTCTCTCTCTCTTTGTAATTGCATTTCTGATGTGTCTTTGTTTATCTTTTTATTTTCATATAATCTTGGTCTGGACCATATCAAAAAATCAACCTTCTAACACAATGCAGTCTGCAAATATTTCCCCTGTGCCACCTTCATCTATAATTTCATTGTTCTCTTTTCATCAACACAATGCAGTCTGCAAATATTTCCCCTGTGCCACCTCCATCTATAATTTCATTGCTCTCTCTTTTCGTCAACTTGGAAACATTTCTAGTTCTTCCTTTAGCGTATATATAATACTGTAACATGCTTAGGAAAAAATGGATCTGTGATTCAAAGTCAGTATTTAAGAAACAACTACGAGGAGTGAAATATTTACACATCATTTAGACCAGCAAACATTTGTTATAGGCTCATGTTCAAAGAGTGTGTGAATCATTGAGGGGCTTTCCCTGTGCTCTGCTCTATACATAATTGAAACAATATGGTTGTAATGTGCTTTCCGTTATGATACTAATACCCAGATGTAGATAATTAAATAAAAAGTACCCGGAAGAACATTTAAACATACTGTGTGAATTATTATTTTTTCCCCGAAAGAGCATGTTCACTCGCCCGTGAATTCAAAAGATTCACTTGTTTCTCTGGTTTCCCTATATTTATAGCAGTATCACTTTAATGCATTATGATTTATAAATTTCCTTTTAAGCTTTTACTGATGAAGTTGTTATATCATACTACAATCATTTGCTCTTTCTGGTTTGTGTTAAGTTTCGATATTCAGATACCCGCCCAGCCCCAATCTCCATTGTGTTCACGAAACATTCTTGTTGCAGCGGTCCCTCAAGGTTTGATTGGGATCAGAGCTCACAAGGTTGGATCTATAGGCGAACCAAGGCAAACCTGCAAAAGGTTTTGGAAGACGAACTAGAAAAACTATGCGGAAGTGCCATTACTCTTTCTTGAGACATCGCGATTTTTTTTGTGTCTTTAGTTGTACTGTTTCTAATATGATTTACATGTCTGGAATAAATAAGCTATTTTTCCCAAACAGATAGCGACTCAAATTTTTCTCTTGTAAATTATAAATCTTTACCTAAAACTATTTACATATATGATTCATGGAGAATGGCAAACGTGATTTTATGGTTGTTACTCTGGATTGGGACATTATGGAGTTATCATATATGTCATGAACACACTTTACATACAATGAATACATTGACATATACGAGGATTAGGACGTCTGCATAGTTAAAACGTCTTTAACGAATATTGAGAACAAACTTCAGGTGTTATTCAGTATATAGTGTGATACGTTGAACATATATGAGATGTACATTTGTTTCACTTTCAAATTACCACCACAAATCTATCATAAGTCATCACTGCCACCTGTTTCTCCATAACAATTTAAAAGTTATTTTCATACTCAAAAGGAAAGAAAAAGGAAGAGAGTTGCATCCTCACTTTTCCCATAACAATACAAAAGTTATTTTCATGCATAAAACAAAAGTTTATAGCTATTTTTAAAAAAAATATATTGTTATGGAGAAAGTAGTAATTATGGGTCTTTTATATTCCTTCTCAAATTATAAATTGCTTTAAGATTTTAGAATTGAATTATCAAATTATTTCACTGAAAACAGCATTATAATATAAGTTCTACTTAATTTGCATAACATGTGCCAACTTTATTCACCATATTATAATTTTATGATGTTTGAAAATAAAATTAAATCATTTAAACTCTTATACAATGTGTCAACTTCACCAAGAAGAACATCCCTTTCAGATAGGGGTTTGTCCCTCTCTCAGGGCAATAACTTTAATGCTTTTATCTTTAGAATCAATTCCTTTGTTTGGTTCCTCCACCTTTTTCACATTTTTGAGGGATGAAAAAAATAGAAAAATAAGTCAAAATTTAAAGTTGTAATAACATGAATTATAATTTGATTGAGGGAATGAGTAATTGTAGCCATATGATGGTATTGTATAATTATTATCCACATAATAGGCTAATTTTTAGGGCTAAAGTTAAATTCAAATTTTATTTTCTTTACATAGTATTATAGTATTAAAGCTAGAGTCTTCCTTATTCTTAGTTAATCTATAGTCACATTTTCATATTGTATTATTTACACTCCGCATGTGAAGATAAAGGGAGGTGAGTGATAAAGTTATTCTATCTTTGACTAAGTAAATTCTATTCTTAAATGATACTCTCTCGGTTCATTTTTATTTGTCATGTTACGCTTTTTAAAAATTAATTTAATTAATTTTTAATGTTAAATTAGATTATATTGATTCGATATCTTAAACAAAAAATTTAAATATTCAAAAAATATATGAAAAGTACTATAAAATGTAATTATTTGCATGTCAATATAATAAAACATACATCTTAAAATATCAGTCAAAGTTCTTAAAATTTGACTCTAGATATAAAAACCACGACAAATAATAATGAACAGAGAAAGTATTAAATAACGCTTTATAAGCTACTTTCTCTATTGAGTTAGACATGAAAGGATGACACGACTATTTAGGTTAATTCTTCTCAATCGTATTTAGTGAAACGTTACCCAATTGAAGGAGATACAATGAAAACTTTAGACTTGAACAAGCTATCTTGAAATTAGTTATCTCATTTTATTATAATATCAAAATGACACTACTCCAAACAAAAATAAAATAACTCATCCAAATAAGGGACAAAAAAACTATCAATACTCTTAAATCTCATGTCTGTCCCTTATTTAATAGAGACAAGTTGTAGAAATTAAAAGAAGACCATCATATGTACATGATATATACAAGGACTAGACTAGAACCAAGTGTTGCTATTGAGAACGTCAAAAAAAAGAAAGAAGAAATATAGTAGTCATAATTAAAGAGTGGGTCCAAACTTGATTCTTGTTTGAGTGATCATAATAATCACACATATATAATAAAATAAAAATGATGGTCATAATTTAAAGAAGAGTATTTTACAAGGCAACCTCTTTCTCATAATATCTTCCACAGTGCTTTCAACACTTTATATATAGCCACAAATTGTTTATTTTATATATAAAAAATAAAAATAAAAAGATGAATAAAAAGGCCATTTCAAATCAATTCCTTTATATTTCTTATGAGTTCTACACCACAAGATAATATATATATATATATATATATATATATATATATATATATATATATATATATAGTTCTTTTGATATGATCAACTTATGTTATTATATCCCACAAGTGGTTTTGCTTCTTTTTTTTTCCTATGCAATGTTGGATATTTCTATTAAAATTTATCGACTAAATTCAAATTTATAAATTATAAGATTCATATCTATTTAAATTTTTTCTCAAACAATGTATTACATTTTGAAAAATTAGTAAATGCATAAAAAATTATTAATTTTAGAACATAATTATTAATAATTGAAATTATCTTATAAAAATTTTTAGAACTCATAAGATTAAAATTTTGACTTTACCTCTAAAGAGGATGCTTTTAATAAAAAATATTTCATACTCATTTCGAAATTTCTGATTAAAAATAAAGAAATTTCGATCCGGAGCATCTGAGAACCCATATTCATTGAATTTAGTTGATGAATTCTACACCACAAGATAAAAACATTATTATTCTCCAGGAGACTCTTCTTAGTCTCTCAAAAGCGACACCCAACACAAGAATTTTTATTTACATAAAAAAAAAAAATTCTTAATATTTAAGTTTTATACACGATAAATATAAAAATATCTACAAAATAATAAGACAATAACATATTCTTTATCTAGTAAACATGAATTATTAGTATAATTTAAATTAATGAATGAGTAATCACCTTTTTGTTTCAAACTACTATAGTTTATGTAACTAGATAATACAATATGATAAATTAAATGAACACATTCAATAAATATTAGACTGAAATTATTACTCCCTCTATGATTACTTATTATTGATTTTTGTGGGATTTATTGGAGCCTTGTGAAAGAAAAAGCTAGAAGATGATTTTGTAACAAAGAAGTATAAAAAGGATTAATTTTTTGTGTTTTTTAGATGGTATAAAAATATACAAAAATAATCACACGAGATATTTTATCAGTAGTAGAAGATACTCATGTGTCATTGTGCATAGTTTTTTATTATTCCACGATCTTAAACTATTGATAAAATTCAAGTTAATAAGAATATCAAATATAACAAAATATAAGGGGAAAAATAGTTTTCCCCTATGTACTATACATGTATATATAGCAAAAATATAACATAATAATTAACTAACTATCCTAATTATTAGTCATCTTAAATACACGAAAGTAAAAGTTGAAAAGTTATTAAACTATTCAACTATCTCCTATTTATTAGAGTAGCTGTCTTAAATAACGAATTTCTCTATTTACATGGAAGTAAATTAGAAGAGAATAATTATTGTTAATTTACCGATGAAAAAACGGAAATAAATATCTAGAAAGTCTTTTGTAATTATTTTTGTATACTTTCTGTTATTTAAACCTCTTCCATTCCACTTTATTATGAAATACAATAGTTGAGTTTTTTCTTCTATGAGTGTCCAATAAATCCAACACATCTCTAGGCCACAAGTTAATATACAAGTGCAAAATGAACTAGAATTGCTTTCTAGGCCATATAATTTATTTGAATTTAACCATATTACACACACATTTTACTTTTTCAATCTTTCTTTTGACTTTATTATTTAGTATTCATTTCGACTTCGCGTTGAATAAGATTTTATTTGAGAAGAAATGCTTTCTATTGATATTTTTTTTACATTTAGATCTAATTTCGAGACATTTAATTAAGAAAAAAAGAATTTCATCTACTACATTTTACTGTACCATATTCTTTGATGATACATATTTTCTCTCTCTTATTATCTTTTGTTTTGATCCAAAATGGCCGATAGTTCAAGACAAAACTACTTGGTTATACTTAAGATAATAACAAAAAGGACTTCACTAATTTTTGACGTGTACATATAGAACTGACTTTAATTTTTAGCTATTAATCTCGCTTTTATAAGTAACTATCTTAGTTATACTTTATAATAATAAGATAATATCAATTTATTCAAATTTTTTTACATTATGAATATTAAATAGAATCTAAACTCAAACAAAATTGATTTACTGAACATGTATAAACGTGATGAATTGGAAAAGTCTTGTGTAGAATAGAAATATATATGGAGTAAGAGTCGGTTTATATTAGCATTTTAACGACTTTTAAAGTATGTAAGTAAATTTAAAAAAATGCTCATAAGCTCTTGGTTTTTAGTTTGAATAAATTTCTATAGTTAAAATACTAATGACTTTTGATTTATAAGTCAAAAATGAAAAATCAATCGAAACAAACTCCAAGGAGTTGTTTAGTGTGAGAAATGAGACCAAATAGCTATCAGCTTAAACTATAGTGCCATTTGATTTGTAGTTTAGTAGGCAATTTCGAAATAACTTATTCCGAATTAATAATTAGTATTACAATAAGTTAGATCTTTCCTTAAATAGTGCAGTAATTTCGAAATAACTTATCTCAAGATAAAATAGATAAATGACAAAAACATCTCTATAAATCCTTTTTATACATTATTTGTCACATTCAAGAAGGACACCTTTGTACAAATAATTTGTTCTTAAAATTTATGTAATGCACATTATTTTGAACACGACAAAACAATCACTCAATAAGAAATAATTTCAACATAACTTATCTCATTACAATTAATTGACATTATACATAATGTGTCCTATAACTTGGCTTAAAATCACATTTATGCCCTTCAACTTTGAAAGTGCACAAATAAACACTTAAACTTGTATAAAGATGAACAAATAGATATACATGTCCTGTATGTCATTTTTCGTCCTACATGGTGTCCTACATGTATTCTTTCATGTAGGACTCATGTTTATTTTTTAAAAAATTGGATAGTTACGTACATTATGAAAGTTGAAGGTCAAATTTAAAATGTAAAGCTAAATTTAGAATCTAATACGTGTATTATGCCTAACTAATTCGATCATAACAAGTATTCAAACTAAATGACACCTATGTATTTGTTAAGAGTCTTACTTTATCTGTTAATTTTACTTGTCCTTATATTAAAAATAAATATGCATTTTTA